TGTCAGAGTTTGCCACGCCCACCTCCCCGCTGATTGGCCGAGCGAGCAGGGAGGGGGCGTGGCCTAGAGAACAAAATTCCCACCGCGCCCGAAGTTTCTCTAAAGTTGGCCAAACTTTCTGCCTCTTTGGAAGAAGTAGTTCCAGAAGGAACGAGGGCGATCCGTTACCCCCCGCGTTACCCCGGATATGGAGACACGAACCAAGAGCCAGGCAGGTCAGGAGCCGGATTTATTTATTTTAAAATATATTTTGGAAGGGGGGGGGAATAATATTTTTTGGACTGCAACACCCAGAATGCACTCAGCCAGGATTCTGGATGTTGCAGTCCAGAAGGAAAAAAGGAACTTTCCCAAGCTCTCTCTGTTTCAGTGTAAGCCTCTCTGCGCAAATTGGGAGAGTTAATTAATTGATGCCAAATTGTATCCAGATCTCTTAAATTGGGTTAGATTGTAACTATTAGAAAACTGCTAAATTGTATTTAATTTAAGTCAAGGGATAAAATGACATTTGCCCCATCAGTAAAGTAAGCAAATGAATAAAATGTAGCCCCAGGAGATCAAAGCAGCTGTGAAAATGGGACTGATTGGTGCTATTAATCAATTAATTAAGGCTATTAATGCAGAATTTTCTTTGAGAGGCTGCATTAAGAGAGAGAGAGAGAGAGAGAGAGAGAGAGAGATGGGATGGAAAAGGAGTTTTTAGAAACATGGAAATAAATGCTGCTGCTGAGGTTTTAATGTGGCTCAGCCCCCAAAATTGCCCATAAGAACATCAATTAGTCATGATTTATTATTATTATTATTATTATTATTATTATTATTATTATTATATCCTGCCCTTTCCCCAATCAGGGTGGCTTATGCCATTAAAAACAGTAGAATTAAAAGCATACAAAAATAATACATTGTCACAGAGTCAAATGACTACAGTGTTAAAACAAATTGCCCATTAAAATATAAAACACAGTTTTTAAAAGATTTTAAAAATGTTTAAAACAACATACCTCAATTTAAAACATACATCAGTTTTAAAAGAAGAAACAAGACACATACGTATTAAAATAATCTACTTTTAAAATTAATCATTTAAATTGTACACGCACACATTACCAAAACACCTATAAATAATAAAGATTTGCAGCTCTCTTTCTCATGCCTTTAAAATTTAACAATTTTAAATCAATTTTAACCATGATTTATGATTTCTAATGCCCAATAAATGCAGTAAGGTTTCCTCTTGATATTTTTAATTTAATTTAATTTAATTTGGCTGAAATTTAGTGTTTCCTCCAAATTTAGCCAGCAACAGGGAGGCAGATCCATTTGGTTCAATGGGGATGCTCTAGTCAGGGTTAACCATAGGATTTAGGCCAATGTCTTTTAATAAATTTTAGCAATATCAATTTTTAAAATATTATTTTTAAAATAATTCCCTGCAATGATGCCCGCTGCCGCCTTTCCTGGCAAGGGCAGATAACAATTTAGGAAACCTCTCGCCCTTATCATCTACAGTCAATGTCTGTGGCATGAAACGCCAATATTTTCCATTCTTGGTGTGCTTTAAAATAATAATAATAATAATAATAATAATAATAATGACTTTTCCTCCCCAAAAACTGGGGAGACCCATTCACTTCCCCCCAATTCCTTCTTTGAGGAGAAAGGGAACTGCTCAAATAAACCAAGGAAGAATCTTCCCTGAATTTTCTGAGGTCTGGTTTTTGTAGAGAAGCTTCATACATTTCTCCCTTATTTTTAATTCATTATTTTTAAAATTTCAGAAGTCAGCAGTAACTATCAATCCTTACCACCCGCTGCCCCCAAAATTAACAATATAGTTATAACTATGAAGTCTCAGGCAGAGTGGTTTGAGCCTCAGACTATCACTCTGGAGACCAGGGTTCGATTCCCTGCTTGGCCATGAAACCCACTTTGGCAAAGTCACACTCTCTCAGCCTCAGAAGAAGGCAGTGGCAACCCCGCACTGAAGAAACCTTGGCAAGAAAACCCCATGAGAGGTTTGCCTTAGGGTCGCCATAAATCTAGGGTGACTAGGCATCCTCCTTTTCCAGGACGTGTCCTACATTTCAGCCTTCTGTCCAGGAGGAATTCCAAAAGGTCCTCCCTTTTCAGCATGGCATGGATTTATATTTCTATGAGACTTTTAAGCTTTTGTTTTGCAATGTCCTACTTTTAAAAAAATGTCCTCCATTTTGTTTTGCCTTGTCCTCCTTTGCAACTAGGACATCTGGTTGCCCTGCATAAGTCAGAAATGATTTGAAGCTGCACGACAAACCCACCCACACACACACATTACCAAATCACCTATAAATAATATGTCTATTTATCACAAGGGAACATTGGCACCTCTCTCTCTCTCGCACACACACACACATGTGTACACAGTTGTTGGAAAACAAATATGTAAATCCTTTGTGTTTGTGTTTGTGGGTGTGCATGGAAAGGAGTGTGGGAGTCACCAAGTCAGTGCCTATGCGCAATTTCCGTCGCATGGCCTTCATTTTCCCTCTGTGGCGGTGCTTTGAAGGAAGGGTCAGCGGGGCTCCGTTTCTTCCTCTCCGGTCAGTCCCACAAGGCCCACCTCTTGACCCTTCTGCTGGTGGCTTTGGCCAAGCTTTCCTGCGATGGCTCTGTGCATGCGCCGTGCCATGAGCGTCCATGCTGGGTGCAGAGCCGAGGGGAAATGGGTGCATGGAGGCCCCATTGTCTCTGGGCACATCCTCTGCCCTGCTCCGCAAATAAAGCTTTCCTCAAAAGCACTTCAGCCCAACATTGACCAATCATGGAGCCCCTCCAGATGTTGTGGGACTGCAGCACCCAGCATGCCCCATCAAGGCAAGATGTGGAGGGGCACATGAGTACTGCCCTCCGAATGGAGGGTCCCTCTGCCTTCAGGGGGAGGGTCTCTATCCCTGCTAGCCCTCAGGTGTCCTTTGAGCTGGCCTTGCAAGCGCTGAGGTCAGGGCCTCGGACGGAGGGAGCAAATATTTGGGTTCCCCTCCTCTTCCTCTTTTGAATCAGGCAAAGGTCCTGGCCATTGTGCTGGCCTTTTCTCAAACACCTTCATATCATTCGATCAAGGGGGAAGTTTGGAAGCAGTCCAGCTCTGGCTTTGCAGGCTGAGGGGACTCACACCCCGACACTGGAAGTTCATAGAATCACAGATTTGGAAGAGAGCCCCTTCAAGGGCCATCCAGCCCAGCCCGCTTCTTCGGCCATGCAGGAAGACCCTGTCCAAGCCCTCCTCCCTGGGACAGATGGCCATCCAGCCTCTGTTTCAAGACAGCCTCCAAAGAAGGAGACTCCATCCATCACCCTCCATGGAGGCAGCAGCGTCTTCCGCCATTGAACAGCTCTTTCCATCCAAAAGTTCTCCCTAACGTTTAGGTGCAATCTCTTTCCCTGTAGCTTACTTCCATTGCTCTGTGTCCTGGTCTCTGGAGTTGCAGGAAACAAGCCTGCTCCCTCCTCAATCGGACACCCTTCAGATATTTAAACATGGCTATCATGTCTCCTCTTGACCTTCTCTTCCCCATGCTAGAGATACCCAGCTCCCCAAATCTCTCCTCAGAGGGTTTTATGGTTTCCAGGCCTTCCGCCATTTGGGCTGTCCTCCTCTGGACACGCTCCTGTCCTCCTTCTCTGGGACCCTAGTCGTTTCTCCCAAAGCCAAAGGCCACTGGGGAGGAGATGGAGTGCTTCTTTCAGGATAGGTTGGCCTTAGGGTCACCATAAGCTAGAAGCGAGTTGAAGGCACACAACAACAAATGCTTCTTTCAAGGACGCTTAGCTCTTCTGCACTATTCTCTGTTTTCCTTGCTTGGTCAGAGAAGGAAGGCTCCAATTGACCACCACCACCACCACCATCCCACCCTGAATGCCCAAGTAGGGTCAGGCCTGGTTAGAGCTGGGGCAGCTGGAGGGAAGGCCAAGAGCTTCCAGGTGGGGCTGGGTGAGAATCCTGGCCCAAACCCTGCTGCCGCCAGTCAGAGCTGGCAATACGGAGCTGCATGGGGAGGACCAAGGGCTTGACGCAGCCTCTCTCTCCGTCTTCCTCCGCAGGGCTGTCCACTGAGTACCTTGATGACCTCCTGATGGAGTTTGACCAAGTGGTCCAGGACTTTGACAAAGGCGCGCCTTCCCAGTACGAGCATCACCTGGCAGAGCTCAAGAGGCAGGCCTTGCCCAGCACCTATGACAGCGGCATCGACGATTTGGAAAGTGAGTGGGGATGCTGGGCTTTCCTTCCTCCAGCGGAGCCACAAAGAGGGTGGAGGGTGGAAGTGGAAACCTGCTCCTCCCTCCCTGACTCTTCCTCTGCTCCCCATTTCCAGCTCTTGGTCTTTGCCTCCCAATTGCAGGGGCTGGCATAATGCAAACCACCTGAAGCTGGCAGTGTGTGTTCCAGTTTTCAGTCCACACTTTAAAGGAGCTGTCCAAGGTGCTGGGTCCTACCTCCACCCAAATAGGTTCAGCATTTTGGGTAGCCCTTCTAAAGTTTGGGCTAAAAACCCGGAGCAGGTTCATTACCCCCCTCGCCCACAGATGCAGCCTTGCTGGCTGGGCAGTGGGCACCAATGGGCAGCAACAGGAGCAGCAGCAAAACGTACCTGCCCCAGAGAAAGAGAGGAGAGGAGGGACTGGCCACCTGGGCACCAGGAGATGGGCTTCAAGGAAGGAAAGGTGACCCTGGCGACCGATGCCGAGGGCTAAGGCGCCCCTTGGTTCTTCTCTTACAGGCAGCAGCACCTCTCCTGGGAGCAGTCTGAACACCAGCGAGGAAGATCTGAATACGCCAAGCGCACTGACGACAGCCGTGTCTTACTCTAAAGGTACAACGGCTCAGAGGGACAGCGAGGCGTAATGGTTTGAGTGTGGGACTAGGAGACCTGGGTTGCAATCCTAGCTCAGCCATGGAAACCGAGTGGGTGATCTTGGGCAAGTCACACTCTCTCAGCCTCAGAGCCTGGCAATGGCAAACTCCCTCTGAAGAAGCTTGCCAAGAAAACCCCATGATAGGTTTGCCTTAGGATCTCCATAATTCAGAAATGACTTGAAGGCACACAACAAGAACAACAACAAATGGGTCAGAGCGTCTGAGGCAGGGCTGGAATCGTGTGGGTTTCCAGATGTGGTTGGACCGCAACTCCCACTAACCCCTATGGGGAAGACTCATGGGAACTGGAGTCCAACAGCATCTAGAGAATCCCACTGCTATGTGGCCAAAGGCAAGAGGGTTGCCAGGTGTCCCTTATTTGAAGGGGTCTCCTCTGTTTGAGGGCTGGAAAGCTTTTCTTTTTACATGGACTAAACAAGATGACCCCAAAACACCATATTTGTGTGTTAAAGACAGAAATATGTCCATCATGTAAGGTAGGAATATGACCAACGCGTTGGTTTTACAGGGAAAACACGTGGCTGGCTGAGTTAAAGTGAAATAAATACTTTTATTTGCATTTTGGTAGAACACAAACTTATTAATTGCCACTTTGTGGCTGTCAGCCTTTTGTGTTTCAGAAATTCTGAATGCCTCTTGTTGTTGTTGTTCCTGTTTTA